AAAGGCTTAAAGATTAAATGTTCCCTAACAATATCTTTGGGATGCCACTTTTTGAAATTACATTTAGGACAGGGACACTGAATCTTACCATTTACGGCAGCATTGGCGAAAGCAAAATCCAAGAAATAGTTTAGACCAGCCAAGTATTGCGGAGTCGACCGGTGCAAGTTGATCCACGACCTATCCATGACTAATAATGCTCAAATTTCGTGAAAATATGACACAGAGCTCAAAGAGAAGTTAAAATGGAATTCAGTTGAAGTGCTTCAGCTTATAAAGGAGGCTGGAGGAACGGTCATTTTTTTGTAGCGGTTACAAAACCGCTACAAATTTGTAGCGGTTTTAACGGAAATTTTCAATTTCCAGCGGTTATTAACCGCTAGAAATTCTAAATATCGGTTACAAACCGATAAATTTCTAGCGGTTTAACGGGAATTTTCTCTCCATCGGTTTTGAATTTTCTAGCGGTTATAAAACCGCTAGAAAATTAGGTAAAATTTGCTAATTTTCTAGCGGTTCCTGTGAACCGCTAGAAAATTAGCAAATTTTCTAGCGGTTCACAATAAAACCGCTACAAAATATGGTTAAAATCCAGTTGAATTTTCTAACGGTTTTTGAACCGCTACAAACGCTATTATTTTTAAATATTAAATAGAAATACCGCACAATAAATTAATAACATTACGAAAATAAATATTTATTAAATTAATAAATGATTATAGAATTATTTTGATTAATTAACATGTTTAACGTGTTTAATAAATTGTAATGTTGATGTTGTAATAAATAAATAAATATTCCAATATTAATTAGTACTTGACATAAATAAAATTATAGAAATAAATCAATAAAGGAAACAAATAAATATAAAATTTAGATAAATATCTAAATAGTATATAAAACCGTAAAATCAAGATTCTAATAAAATCTCATACAATGAAAGCAAATCATGGGTGGGGGGCAGAAGCAGCATCATCGTGATCATCCTCTGCTGAATCCTCCGGCTGGGGGTGGGCAGGCCGCTCAACCTGCTGGGACTGGACTGGCGGATGGGGGGGTAGGGGCGGGACTGGTGGCATGTGTAGGTCGGGGATGTCAGGAACCGAGATGTTTGGAGCTATACTGACCACCACATGACGCAGAGCCGTAGCAGCTGCCAAGAGCTGGTCAAGCTGCGTCTGGAGCTGACGATCACGCTCCTGGAACTGACGATCACGCTCCACGATTCTGGCCTCGAACTCTTGTCTGAGCTCCTCTCGCAATTCCTCTGAGGATGAGGAACCCGGCCGCTTCGCACTCGCATGAGAGCTCCCAGCAGTATATGAAGGGCCAGCGCCACTTGAGCGGGGCAACCTAGTCGGTGTAGGTCCAAGTCCAAGCCCGGTAACTCGACCAGGGTGCTGTAGCCGGCCACGACCCGCTAAAAGTGAGGCGGTAGGATCCAAGGCAGACCCCTGAGACTCACGCAACTCGGAATCGACCTGAGTCATCCGTGCCTACCAAAATTAATATAAAGAAGTTAATTATAATATAATGATATCTACACTGTGATATTATATTAATATTTAATTTATTACTTACCGCTATCTCCTCAACCTCATCCGACGCACGCCCGTCTCAGGGTCTATACACCATCGACCACATCTCGCCATAAGTGGGCGTGTATCCCTGCTCCTGCTGCGTCTTTTCCCTCTGTAAATGAAATCAAAGAAATAATTAGTTACAAATTAAATACATCTACATATTTAATAAATTTATTTCAAGTACTCACAATCTCGTCATAAGTGATCGCAAAGCTCCTGGATCCAGCCCTATGACGTATCGTCTGATGCCTGACGCTCCTAGCATTTCTCCTAGAAAGAGCCTGAAGCAAAATGTAAAAAAATTAAATTAAATGAGTCAAGTCGGATAAAAAATAAAGAAATTATAATTAATACAATATTATCATACCATCTGGTCAGCCGTCATCCTAAAATAGACGTAAGTGGACCAGTCTTGGTCCGAGACTCCACCAGGTACATCTGCCAGTATCTCATGGAGGGGCCTCGTCCCGTCACCTTTCTTCTCCCTCCACAGGTCGGCCCTCCTGTTCTTCCATGCCATCCCAAGCCTCTTGATCGTGTCAGCCCTCAACTCCTCCCCCAGAATAAATTTACTCTATGATTAAAATAATAAATTAACTAAATAACAAATTATAAACAAATAATTAAGCAATTTCAATAATCAAAAACAAATAATTAGTTTTTAACTAATTTAACAATATTATAAATAAAATATAAATTAATCAAAAACAAATAATAATTAAACAATTAAGTAATTTAAATGAAAAAATATTTTTACTCAACTAAATTTAAAATTATTATAAGTAATAAATTAAAGAAATCAATAACAAATTATTTTCATTTAACTACTTTTAAATAATTTAAATAAAAAATATATATTCATTTAACTACTTTTAAAAATATTATAAATAACAAACAAATTAAATAAATAAAAAATTATAATCAAACAATTAAATTATTTGAAAACAAAATATATAATCATTTATTTAAATTAAAAAAAATTATAAATAACAATTTTATATTACCTTCATCATTTCCCAGCCTTGCTGCTTCTTGTCTGAGGTGATCTTCTTCCAGTCCTGCACGTAGATGGGGAACAGCGTCCACTGCTGACCAAGGAGGCGCACGTACTTGTTGTACAACTGGCCACCTTTCTTCGTCAGTTGGCCCAACTCATTGAGCGGCATAACCACTCGTCCGCCCGTCATCATAGACAGCTCTCTGGCTGTCAGCCTCCGATAGGACCTGTTCCCCTCAGTGTCTGCAAAATTTAATTAAGAAATAAATTATATATCAATAAATTAATACAATTTCTATATAAATTAAATACTGATCAAAACTTTAAAAAGTTAAATAAATACTTACCGACAAATTCCACCTCATAACCAGCCTGACGTCTCGGAGCAGGACGCTGTGCAGCCTGGGGATACTCATTCCCCTGATCCTCCTCCTCCTCCTCCTCCTCCTCCTCGTCAGCAGCATCAGCATGGGGTTGCTCATCCCCAGTAAAATGAGCCTCCTCAGTCCGCTCAACACCATCCTGCTCCATAAAACTGAGGATATCCTCCTCGCTCAGATCGTAGTCATGAATGCTGGGGAATGGCTCACCAGCATCATGATGAACCTCACTGGGTCCAGCTCTCTCAGGATCAACTGGGTCTTTCCCGTGTCGACGAGGCATCCTAATAACAACAAATAGTAATTATTTATAAATGAAATAAAAAGAAAAATTATTTATAAGCTATAACATAATAAAATAAATAAAATAAAACATAAAATAAAAATTATTTATCAATAAAGTACTATTTTTACCTGAAAATAAGGATCTGCAACTGAATCAGAACTCGAATATGTTTGTGAAGAAAATTCAGCAGAGCTTCGCTTTCAGAACGATTGAAGAAGTGAGAGTGTGGGGGGGTATATATAGACCGAGGCTTTCTAGCGGTTAGGCACAAAACCGCTAGAAATTTCTAGCGGTTTTGAGCCGAACCGCTAGAAATTCCCAACGGTCACATGTGCCTCGGGAATTGGCTAGCGGTTCGGTCCAAACCGCTAGCAATTTCTAGCGGTTCGGCCAAGAACCACTAAAAATTCTGGCGGTTCTTGGCCGAACCGCTAAAAATTCTGGCGGTTCTTGGCCGAACCGCTAACAATTTCTAGTGGTTCTTGGCCGAACCGCTAGAAATTGCTAGCGGTTTGGACCGAACCGCTAGAAATTTCTAAACTCCTCGGGGAATGAAAAAAATTTCTAGCGCTTCATGCATCAACCGCTAGAATTTTTCGGTGTCTAGCGGTTTATTAGCCTGAACCGCTAGAAAGTAAACGCTACAAATTTGGCGCCAAGTTCCCGCCAAAGCCCGGGGAATTTTCTAGCTCTAATTTTCTAGCGGTTAGGTGGTAACCGCTAGAAATGTGCGGGTAATGGTCAAACCGTCTGTATTTTGCAGCGGTTTTTATAGGAACCGCTAGGAATATTTGGAATTTCTAGCGGTTTTGTTGAACCGCTAGAAATGTTCCGCTGCTACTTCAGCAATTTCTTGTAGTGTTGAAATTAAAGATAACCATTAAGCTACAAATATATTTGTTATTAAAATAATGCAAAATAATATATATGCTAACTATTTAACTTTGAGTATATGTTATTCGCAGCTTTTATATAGATATTAGCTATATTTTATTAACAATTAATAATTTTTATTTAGCAAATAACAATGCCACTCTTTCATTTCACAATCTTTGCATAGGTGTTAACTGCATTTCATTTGTTATTAATAATTTTTATTTAGCAAATAACAATGTTACTCTTCCATTAAGTAACTTTGGTTTAGAACAACTTGTTACTTGTTAAACGAAAGTTATTAATAACTAATGAAATACAGCTAATACTTATGTTTTTCTTTTTTCTTTTTTTTTTCTGGGCCAACTAGTTAATACCCAGATAAAAGTTGTGAAAAAGTTGAAAGAGTAATCTTGTTACTTATTAAATAAAAATTGTTAATAATTAATAAAATGTACTCAATACCTATACAAAAGTTATGAATTATATGAATTCGGTTAACATATATGTTATTTTGCATCCTTTTGATAACAACTTTAATGGCTGAATCTTAATTTTAATAACAACTGCTGCCCGCTTGCCGATGGAGCTATGGACGACAGTTTCTGAGATTTAGTACTGGTTATTTTCCCGAAATTTAATTTTGTAATCTTTTTTTTTTTTTTTGCCATCTTAAATGACTGAAATATTTAGGTCAGTCTTTGACATTTATTTGTGTACTTGTTTTGAAAGCTGATACTGCTTATATGCCAACCCATCAATGTCGTCCCCACCAAATCAATAAATTTTTGTTGACTTCGCTGTGCACTCGTTATTACAAGAAATGAGAATTTGTCTCTCACTCCACATCCTCTCCTCTGATCGTATACAAGAAAGAAACCATGGCTGCTGAGCTTGGGGGTGGAGCATTTCTCTTTGCTGCTCTTCAAGTTGCTTTTCAAAGGCTGGCTTCTTCTGACATCACCCACTACTTCCGATCAAGAAACCTCAAGGATAGCGTGCTCAAGAAGCTTCACATCACCCTCATTTCTGTGAATCAAGTGCTTGATGATGCAGAAGCAAGGCAGTACACAAGCCCAAATGTGAACAAGTGGCTTCACGAGCTCAAACATGCGGTGTATGTCGCGGATGACCTCTTAGATGAGATTGCTACTGAGGGAACCAGGCTGAAGATCGAAACTGAGAATCAATCTGCTACCAGAAAGGTGCGAGGCATCTTTACTTCTTTTGCTAATCAATTTGAAAAACACATCGAAGAAAGAATCCAGGAAGTGCTTGATGAACTGGAGTTCCTTGCAAAACAAAAGGATGCGCTGGGATTGAAGAAAGGCTCTGGTAGTGGTAGTGAAGCTGGAGTTGGTGTTAAACTATCCGCCAGACTGCCAACTACATCTTTGGTGGTTGGTGAGTCCAGTATATATAGTAGAGATAGTGACAGAGAAAAAATAATTGACCATTTACTTGATGAGGATCTGAGTATGAACCCACTATCTGTGATTTCTGTAGTGGGTATGGGTGGACTGGGTAAGACCGCTCTTACTCAGCTAGTGTACAACGATGTAAGGATAGAGGATCAGTTTCAACTCAAAGCTTGGGTATGTATTTCAGAAGAATTTGATGTTGTTAGAATCACAAAAACAATACTTTCCGCACTCGGATGTTTCGGAACTGGATATGAAGACCTAAATCAGCTTCAGCTGAAATTGAAGGAGAAATTGGTGGGGTGGAAATTTTTGCTAGTTCTTGATGATATTTGGAATGAGCGACAATCTGATTGGGAATCTTTGCAAGTTCCTTTTTTCTATGGGATATTAGGAAGTAAGATCATTGTTACAACACGTAGTGAAAAAGTAGCATTAGTTGTCTGCTCTAGTAGAGTGTGCCGCTTGGCCTTATAAAATGAAGAAGATGGTTGGAAATTATTTGCAGAATATGCATTTCCCGCCGACGGATGCTTGTAACATAACATCTCGCTTGAGCATCTTTATATGAAAATTTTTCCGTTATAAGGATGACAGCATGAGGACAGATCTTGAATCAATAGGTAAAAAGATTGTCCAAAAGTGCAAAGGGTTGCCTTTAGCTATAAAAACATTGGGTGGCCTCTTGCACACGAAATCATCAGAGAAACAATGGAATGAAATCCTTAATTGTGAGATATGGCAGTTGTCAGATGATGAGAGCGATATAATGCCAGCTTTAAGATTAAGCTACCATTACCTTCCTTCTTATTTAAAACGGTGTTTTGCATTTTGTTCTATATTTCTAAAAGACTATCCAATTGAGAAGGACTCTCTAATCCTCATGTGGATGGCCGAAGATTTGTTGCATTGCCATCAAGGAAATAAAAATGTGGAAGAAATGGGAAGTCAATTCTTGGCTGAACTGGAATCAAGGTCATTTCTCCAAAAGTCAACAACGCATAATGCGTATATCATGCATGATCTTGTAAATGATCTTGCAAAATCAACATCTGGATAGTTTTGTTTAAGGATTGAGGATGGTAATGTGCGAAACATTCATAAAAATGTTCGCTACTGTTCATACTCAGCTTCACGTGATAGCAGTGAAATATTACTAGAGCCCTTTCATGAGTGTAAACAATTACGATGTTTTGTGTCATTAAAACGAGTACCATTCTCCATTAAGGAGGGTAAGGATGAGGGTGAAATATTATCCAAATTTAAGCACTTGAGAATTTTGAGTTTGAGAAGCATTAAAGCTATTACTAAATTAAGTGTTGGCATGAACAACTCCAAGCACCTCCGTTATTTAGACTTTTCTGACACCGGATTTGATAAAGTACCAGATTCAGTTTGTAAAATGTACAATTTGCAAACTTTGAAATTGTGTGGATGCATTCAGCTTGTTGAGTTACCTCCGGATTTGGACAAGTTGGTGAATCTGCATTATCTAGACCTTTCTAAAACTAAGATCAGCAAGTTACCCAATTCACTCTGTAAACTGCCTAATTTGCAAACATTGAAACTGCAGGCGTGTCAATCTTTGGTTGAGTTGCCACCAGATTTGCTGTTGGAAGGAAGAAAGAGGCGCTGAAAATACTACAATTTATTGATGAATATAGAAGCCTATATATAGGCCTACAATGACTTGGAGTCCACTCCATGACAAAAACTGAATATAATAATTAAAACAATGAAAGTGGGAAAGTGGGGGATATGAAACCAGATTACATGCGGGAATATTGGAAACTAACTTGACTTATTCAACTGATAAAATAATAATAAAATAAATCAGCTACATGCACGTGAAGCATTATTCAACACTCCCCCTTGCTTCAAAGCTGCAGACACCCATTTGCATTCTGAAATCTTCAACTTTTCCAATTGAAAGTGACTTGGTCATTATATCTGCAACTTGCTCTTTTGTTCCACAATACTTCAATGCAATAACACCATCTGCTACAAGATCACGAATGAAGTGGTGCCGGATGTCAATGTGCTTCATTCTGCCATGAAAAGCTGCATTCTTTGTCATCGCAATGGCTGATTTGTTGTCACAATAAATCTCTGTTGCATCTTGTTGCGGTTGAAGAAAATCTGCCAATAATCTTCTAAGCCATACAGCTTGACAAGCTGCTGAAGTTATTGCTGCATATTCTGCTTCAGATGAAGATAGAGCTACAGTATCTTGCTTCTTTGAGCTCCATGATATAACACCTGAGCCAAGGGTAAAGACATACCCAGAAGTGCTCCTTCTATCATCAATTGAACCTACCCAATCACTATCAGAAAAGCCAAACAGTTTGAAACTTGATACCTTAGAGTACCAAATTCCAAAATCAATAGTGCCTGCAACATAACGCATGATCCTCTTTACAGTTCCAAGATGGTGTTTTGTGGGATGATGCATGAACCTGGAAACAAGACTCACAGAATGTGCAATGTCAGGTCTTGTATTACATAAATAATTCAAGCCACCTACCATAATCCTATATCACCTTTCATTCGCAGGTTTAATACCATCTTCAGCTCTCAATTTTTCATTCACATTCATAGGAGAACGTGCCGTTTTACAACCCAACATATGACATCGTTTAAGCAGATCTAGAGCATATTTTCTTTGAGAAATAAAAATACCATCAACACTTTGCTTCACTTCTAAACCAAGAAAATAATGCAATAATCCCAAATCTGACATCTCAAACTTCTGCATCATACTTGACTTAAAATCAACAATCACTTTCTTAGAAGATCCCATATAAATCATATCATCAACATAGAGGCATACCACTATAAAATCAGACTCACCATGCTGTTTCAAGTAAAGAGTGGGTTCATTATCACTCCTTTTAAATCCGTTTTCACGAAAATAGGAGTCAATTTTATGATACCATGCACGTGGGGCTTGTTTAAGGCCATACAAAGCCTTTTTCAGCTTATAAACCTTACTTTCTTGACCACTAACAACAAAACCTTCAGGTTGGGAAACATACACTTCCTCTTTCAATTCACCATTCAGGAAAGCAGATTTAACATCAAATTGAAACACAGGCCATTTAAGTTGAGCAGCAAAAGATAGAAAAAGTCTCACTGTTTCAAAACGAGCTACAGGAGAGAAGGTTTCATTGAAATCAATACCCTGTTGTTGAGCATAACCTTTTACTACTAACCGTGCTTTGTGTTTTTGCACACTATTACCAGCATTATACTTTGTTCGAAAAACCCATTTAAGCCCAATTGGCTTCTTGCCTTCAGGAAGATCAACTAGCTCCCATGTATCATTTTTCTTGATACAATTCATCTCTTCGATCATTGCATTTCTCCAAACTTGCTCTTTTTCAGCATCCACATAAGACTCAGGATCTGAGACAAAGAGAGCATAATTACACGATTCATAAATGTCAATCAAAGATCGAACCTTTCTAGGAGGAGTTTCACTTGAGGAGCTAGTGAATGAACTTGCTGGTGAAGATGTAATTCTATCAGCACTAGAAGGTGATGACTGTGGTGTTTGTGAGCTACTACCACCTGATGTAGATAACTCTAAACCTGTTTGATTTGGTTCAGAGTTTCCTGCTTCAAAACTTATTGGAACAGAAACAGATTTGTCATTTACCTTGCTACTCCAATTCCAACTAACTTCTTCATTAAAAACAACATCCCTACTAATAATTATCTTGCCACTAACTGGATTCTACAGCCTATAAGCTTTGGATTGCAGGCAATAACCAACAAAAATGCATTTTTCAGATTTTTCATCAAGTTTTTGACGAGATGATTTTACCAAAGCATAGGCTATACAACCAAAAACTTTTAAGTGGCTTACTCGAGGCTTTACACCTCTCCATGCTTCATAAGGTGTCATGTTAGGGACTGCTTTTGTAGGAGAAAGATTAAGCAGATACACTGCTGTAGCTACTGCTTCTTTGGAAGCTCTCTGGCTTTCATCATGCTTCTAGCCATTTCAACCACAGTTCGATTCTTCCGTTCTGCAATGCCATTTTGCTCTGACGTATGTGGTGAAGTGAGCTCCCTGTGAATACCATTTTCTTCACAAAAGCTAGCAAATTCATTAGAACAAAATTCTCCTCCTCTATCAGTACGCAAAACCTTTATGCAATAGTCACTTTGCTTCTCTACAAGAACTTTAAATTTCTTGAAATTTTCAAATGCTTCAGATTTTAATTTCAAGAAATAGACCCAGCACATTCTGCTATAATCATCAATAAACAACAGAAAATACCGACTGCCATTCAAAGACTCAGTATTCATTGGCCCACATAAATCTGCATGTATCAATTCAAGACATTGAGAAGCCCTCCAAGACTTCCCTACAGGAAAGGACTTTTTACTCTGTTTTCCCAAAACACAGCCTTCACAAAAATCAATAGCATCAATATTTGGCAGCCCAAAGACCATATCCTTTTTACTCAACAATTGCAACCCATTAAGATGCAAATGACCATATCGTAAATGCCACAAATCAAAACTACTAACTTCTTTAACAGCCAAAACTCTTTTTTCAACAGAAGAAATGTCAAGCGGAAACATTCTATTTTTAGTCATGGGAACTTTTGCAATTGTTTGACCAGACTTCTTATCAAAAACATCACAACAAAAATCATCAAATGTGACTCTAAAGCCATTTTCCATCATTTGTCCCACACTTAATAAATTATTAACCAAACTAGGCACAAGCAAAACATCATTCAACAACTTCTTTTTACCATGGTCATTATGAATAGCAATCATACCTCTACCTCCGACTTGAACTTGCTTATCATCACCAAGTCGAACATCAGATTTGTGTGATTCATCTAGCTCTTCAAACAGTGAACGTGAGCTAGTCATATGATTGGAGCACCCGCTGTCAATAAACCATATATCTTTTGAAGATTGAGTGTTTGGGAAATGTGCCATAAACAAGGTCTCTCCCTCTGTCTCTGCAAAGTCAGCATGTTTTTTTTCACCTCTCTGCTTTACCCAACAGTCTACCTCCTTATGCCCAAGTTTCTTACACCAATGACATTGAATAGAGCTTTTATGAGAAGCTCCAGATTGTTGCTTTGGCTCATTCGATTGACCGCGGCCTCTGCCTCTACCTCTTCCACTAAAACCACCTCTACTGTTTCCTCTCCCTGCAAACTCCCCCTTCACCTGAAAAGCCTGCTCTTCATTTTTCTCTTGAAATTGATTCATCCTGTCCTCATGAGCTTGCAAGGAACTCGTTAATTCATCAAAAGAATACGTAGACATATCATGTGCCTCCTCAATTGCAGCAACAATAAAATTAAAACGAGGAGTAAGAGTGCGCAGAATCTTTGCAACAATTATTTCATCAGCAATTTTTTCACCATAAGACCTCATCTTATTAACCACAGAACTAGCTCTAGATAAGTAATCTTGTACAAACTCACTCTTTTGCATTTGAAGATTCTCAAATTCCCGACGAAGTGATTGGAGTTTTACAGAGATTACCTTATCAGAGCCCTGAAACTCAGTCTTTAAAATCTGCCATGCCTCTTTAGCCGTCGTTGCAGATGCGATTCTGGAAAAGAGATTGTCGTGCATGGCTTGTTGAAGGAAAAATAAAGCTTTTGCATCTCGCTTTCTATTTTCCTTCAAACGTTGCTGGTCTGTTTCTGACTCTGAAAAACCATCCTCAACTAAGTCCCATAAATCTTGAGATCGAAAGAGGGTCTTCATTCTAATCGACCAAAACTCATACTTGTCCCCGTTGAAAATAGGAATCAATGGTTGGGAGTTTGTAGAAACTCCATTAGATGTTGTAGAGATATTGTTTGCTGCCATCGTCATTGTCACGTTATTCAGAGTTGCTCAAGCAGAAGACGCCCAGTTGGTTTGAAGAAAGATGAAGAGAAAGAAAAAAATAAAAGCTGCAGTGCGATTTCAATTTTTCTCTCTCTGTCGCTCTCTCACGGAAGGCTATTTCACTCTTGCTCACGGGAATATAATTTCACTCACTCACTGTTCGCTACCTCACGGGAATAAAGAAAATCGTCACTGCAGGAAAGAGATGCTGCGTTGCTCACTCTCAAGATTGACCACTCCAAGGCTCTGGTACCACGATTGTTGGAAGGAAGAAAGAGGCGCTGAAAATACTACAATTTATTGATGAATATAGAAGCCTATATATAGGCCTACAATGACTTGGAGTCCACTCCATGACAAAAACTGAATATAATAATTAAAACAATGAAAGTGGGAAAGTGGGGGATATGAAACCAGATTACATGCGGGAATATTGGAAACTAACTTGACTTATTCAACTGATAAAATAATAATAAAATAAATCAGCTACATGCACGTGAAGCATTATTCAACATTTGCACAACCTTATAAATCTTTGTCATCTTGATATAAGTTGGAGTAGTATAAGGGAGATGCCAAACAACATGGGAAGGTTAAAACATCTTCAAATCTTGACTGGTTTTTATGTGGGAAGGCACAATGGGTCTAATTTGAAGGAGTTAGGGAAACTCATTTATCTTCGAGGTAGTCTTGAGGTCTCAAAATTAGAAAATGTCAATGATCCAATAGTTGCTAGGGAGGCCTGTATGAAGGATAAGAAGCACTTATATAAACTGGGACTGCAGTGGAATGGAAACAATGAGGATTCACAGAATGAAAGGTTCACCTTGGAAGGTCTCCAACCTCATGTGAACTTGAAAGAGCTCACTATTAGAAACTATGGCGGCACAAGATTTGCAGATTGGTTTGATGATCCTTATTTGCCTAATTTAGTATCTCTTGTGTTGCGGGCATGTAAATATTGTTTTTGTTTGCCATCACTTGGGCAACTACCCTCTCTCAGGTCGGTTCATATTGCTAAATTAGAGGGAATAAAGAAGATTGGGTTAAACTTTTATGGGAATAATAATTTGTCATGGGCTCCATTCCCATCTCTTGTAAATTTGTTTATTGCTGAAATGATGGAATGGGAAGAATGGATGCATTTTGAAGGTGAATGCTTCCCCTGCCTTAAAGAGATTGTTATACGATATTGTCCCAGGTTAAGAAAGTCACTTCCTCCACACCTGCCATGTTTAGAAAAGCTACAGATTGAACAATGTGGAGATTTGGAGCTTGAATCATTCCCTACCAAAGCATTCTCTACTCCTAAACTTGAATCCATCCATCTTTCTGGCTTGACCCATTTGAAGTCACTTCATGAAGACATGCGTACACTTCTTCCTTATGTCCATTCTCTATCACTGTTTTGCTGCCCACAGCTGCAATTAGTTCCTCAGGAAGGATTGCCTCTGAGCCTTGTCCAAATTTCAATCCATAATTGTTCCAAACTCTTTGCTTCCCGCATGAACTGGGGCTTGAGTAGACTTCATTCTCTTCAAAAGTTCTCTATTGGTGAAAATTTTGAAAATGTGGAGTCTTTCCCAGAAGAGGGATTGCTGCCACCCAATCTCAAAGTTCTAAGATTTGAAGGATGTTCAGATCTGGTCAAACTAAATAGCAGTAGCTTTCTCTCTCTCACATCTCTTCAATGCTTACAATTCTATAATTGCCCAAATCTCCAATCCTTGCCAGAGGAAAGTTTATCGAGGTCCCTTTCCCAATTAATGGGAATTGTGCATTTTTGAGACAACGGTACCAAAAGAATGGACAAGAGTGGCATAAAATTTCGCACATCCCTTGGCTTTGTATTAGCTAAAACTTCGTTCCAGGAGGTCTGTATGCTTCTAAAGCCCTTATAGGTACTTCTTTCACATTATACTATTATCCAGTTTCATTTATTAAGTTTTCACTTTTTTCCTTGTAAAGGCATCCTTCCCCCCCCCCCCCCAATTTGTTTACATGATTAATTATGATGCGATCTCATTCTTTTATTTTTCTCCTTGTGCGGAAATGCTAAGCCAAATATAATGGCTCTGATCTCATCCTCACCTAAAATCTTATGCGCAGAACCACATGCTTGAAGCTTCCACCATCCACTCACGTATAATATTCTCTCTTAGCCCTCTGCAATAACTTCTGTTATTAATATTAGCCATTGTCTTCGTCTTGATCAGCATCTGATGGCATTTCTATAGGAAAGTTGTCCAAAGTACAGATGAACGATATTGCTCTTACTTGGTGGTTATCTACTTCAGTTTGGTCCTTCTTCAGCTCTTCAACATGAGAGCAAGAAAGGAGGACCCATCATTTTCCATCTGACGGGTGCGATTGCTCCTCTGTGTTCTTGCTCATTATTGTTCTGTAAGAATATTCCTTTCTTGAAAATAAAATTCTTCTCCGTTTGGTTTTACTTTTCTTGAGTTCTGATTACTGAGATAAAATTATTTGTAGTTTGAAGAATTTGACAGTAAATACTGGAAAGCTATGGTTTTTGTTTTCATTTGTCAGAGAATAAAAAGCTTCCAATCTCTGATAAGGATATTGTGACTATTGCAAGTATATGAATTTGCTAAATGAGAATTAAAACCTGACTAACACAGTACAGGGCTAAAATGAATAGGGAATAAACACAGTTGTCTAACATACTGAAATTTCACTCTTAATCATGCTTGAGGATTGAATCATGATCAATCACCATGGAAAATTTTCCTCTTTGCGTTTTGTTTTTGTTTGGTAATCTGTTGGGCGTGGGAAATTTTGCATATTTTCTTCTATTCCTTGCACTGGCTTTTGAAAATGTGTGAAAGTGATGAATTAATTGACCTTGATGTTTTGCTGATTGCAGGTAGTTTATGGTCCCCATCCTGTTTAGAATTTGGTTGGTCATATTGCACTGTGGCATTCATTCTATCTCTGAAGGAAGATGATATCACTTGGCACAAATCAAGGTTTTTGTGATATCAATTAAATGAATGATCAATTGCCTTCAAAAGTTTGTCCTCTTCTAGCCTCCAAGCTGTTTTTTCAAATGAAGCTTGGCTGATAAACCTTTTAATTTAATTATAGCTGCGACTAAATCCTTCTATCTTACGATGTCCTACATTTACTTCTTTTAATTTAATTTTCTTTCTTTCTTTCTTTCTGGTTATGTTTGAATCTGAGGTAAAACCCCGTAGCTTGTCAATCAATGTTGGAACAGGTGAAAAACTGGCTTATGGCGCTCAAAATATGAAGTTTGTGAATTAGTTGCTCGTGACCAAAGGTCCCATAGTGCTTTTTCTCTCCTTCTGTGGCTTGGTTTCTTTAACAGTTATGTATGTTCCACAACATCGCAAAAAGAAATGGATAACCAATGTATGCCAATAAAGTAATTCCCAGCAGTATGGCCCAAAAGCGTGAAACTAAAAGGATTATATAGTTCTATATGAATCTTTCCTGAAAAAAATTCTATTGCTTTCCGTATTTCTTCATGAAATGTAGTCATGCTAAAACTGATATCTGAGCTTTTAGGATCCGCTCATTTTTCATTCGGTTTGCATTTGCGGAAAAAGTCACAGCTCAATGGTGAAGACCCTATATTTGTCTGCCAACATGCAAAAATTTTTAACTTGATTCTTGAGCTTGGGTGGCTTTTATCATAGTGTCTTCAAATCCAATACAAATAGACTTTGTAGAAATTATAAACCCAATATTTAACCGATATGTGCCTATGAAGTTTTTCCCAATGGTAATATATGAAAGTATGAAACTAAGCTAAATTACATTATTCTATATGACTGATTCCTGTAAAGAATTTCGTTACTTCTCACAATTCCTCACGCTGGGCTATTGGGATTCATTCATTTTCATCATGTCTGCATTTGTTTTATTAGTCTCCGTTCAGCGGGGAAAATCAATATTTCCATGGTTTGATTCTCAATTCTGGATGGCCTTCATCTTGACGTCTTCAATTTGGATGAGAAAACCTTTATCTGGAACCAAAAATCTTCATGTAATTCTTGACACTATATATTCTCAAACAAGAGGCTTCATTATGTAATTTATTGAACTGAAAATCTTCATTCCTGGCTTTCAAGTTCTACGCTGTGGTACTAAATCATCTCTTCATCTGCTAATTTTCTAGCAGTTGGAAATGTTGAAGAACAATGCTACTTGTAATCAGAGCAGAATTATGCTCCATGCTGCAACGGCCAACAAATGTAGTAGTCCCGCCTTTCCTTTTAGTACTACTTGTACTGATGCTGAGAAATTGGGCATTGTGAGGTCCAATAATAGGCCCTGAAGGATGGAGAATCATGGAGTCTGTAGCATACGCACTATGTGATGCACAGTGTGCCTTTTGTGCAATCTGATGATTGTTGTTCGATACTTCAATTGAATTTTTAACGTCAGCCTTATGGTAAGATTTTGGTAATGAAAAAAACAGCAACATGTTTACTATCTCTTTTTCCTCCATTCCATGCTCTGTGTTGCATCAACTTCCCCTATAACGCTCACTAAGTTAGGCACACGTGAAAATTCTTGTGGTAGATCATTAAGAGATTGTAAATTGTTGTACTCTGTCCTCTAAAAGTATCAGAATTGATTCTGCTCCTTCAGAACCAGCTGGGATTTATACTTGTTGGTCATTTTGAAACAAGAACCAAACAACTGGTGAATTAATTGAGAATAAATGGTCTTTTGCGGCATGCTCTGTTACGTATTCATTAATCATTTGCTATGTTTACCGAAAAATATAATCCACGGCAAAGCTTATTCCTTCCTTGGCTTCTCCTATAATAAGGTGGCTTTTTATTCTGTATGCCTATTTAAAAAATTGTTCTGATTTAAATGATTGTCTGCACATTTTTTTATTAGAAAAAATTTAAATAATTACATTTGTATTATCGGTGATTACAAATATTTTTTAAAAAATTATTATTTTATCAAATATTTTCTTAATTGTTTTTATGTGTTTTCCTCGTACCTTTTATTTTTTTTATTTGTAAATAAAGGTGATTGTTTATTTTTGTTTCATTAGTTGGCATTCAAAATGGATTATTTTATTATTTTATTTTCTATCAGATAATTATAAATTATTTTTTATTTTAAATTGGTCCTTTTGCATGTTATAGTCATTTAATAAATTTTTATTTTTCCCCATTCGTTCGTTCAACTAAGAAAAAACTTTTCATGTCACATCAATTATATATATTTTTTGATGAATCACATCAATTATAATTTTAAACTGTAAAGTTTCAGTTGCTCTCATCTCTTTTTTATTTTTATCAATGTGCTTTCAATCATCAAAAACATGACTTAACCTGTTACATGGAAAAACCAACGAATTATATGCATGAATTTGAAAATTATGTTTGCTTAAAAAGTATCTAAACATCGCAACATAAAGTTGATAATATGAGTTGAGCAGTGCGTTTTACCACCTCTACTCATGTACAGCAAAAATAATTGTGAACTCAAAACCAAAAAGTTCAAACATCTATTAGGAGAAATGTTCATATTTAATACTACCTCCGGTCCTTATTATAAGACCCCGTTTGACTTTTTGTTTGGTCTTAATTATAAGACCCCAATCCATTTTGTCTCTCATATTTATGTATTTTTTTCCAAGATAATCCTTCTAATAATGATAGTTCTAGCCAATATACTTAATTAGCAAGGATATTTTAGGAATGACAATACTTATTTATTACAAATAACTAATTTAACTTATTTCTTAATCTCCTCAAATAAGTTAACTGGGTCTTATAATTAGGACCGGAGGTAGTACTCAATAATGCTTTAAATATGATTGCCTCAAGAAGGAAAAAACCTGTGCTTGCTGGAAAAAAAAAAAGCTTGATCTCAATTGACACTATCCTGCAACGCTATAGTACTCAGTGCATTTATGGGTGAAATTTTTGTACGAGCTAGCACAATGGGTCTTGGTAATACTGAGAAAGAAGATTCGCCTTAGCAGGAGAGTCTACAAAACCGGGGATGTATAATAACTTAGTGGAGGATCTGCAATATGTTCAATATACAGGCTTTTAGTGATAAAAATTTAGTCATATTCCTTCTTACTCTAATTGTCACTACTAAGATGGCGTTTAGGATATTATTTTATGCACTACAAGCTCTCAAAATTTCGGATACTTGAAACTATATTCTCGTTTGCTTATTTTTCATGTTTTTTGAGTCAAGAAACCACATAATGTCATATATCTGTTTGTAAATTTTTTGTTATTTTCCTCGTTAGTCGTATCAACTTATCTAATAGGTATACTTCTCGGCGTCTATATTCGTGGGATGAATCAGGTTACTCATGCCCATCATCAAGAATAGAGCCGCAGAAATATTGTACGCGAAAAAAAATAAATAAATAAAAGGAGAAAGTTATAAGACTAAGATGAAATGTCTTGAGAATAGTCTCGTCTCATAATGAAATGATTGGGTTTGAGATGGATATCAGACTAGACACCCCTAATTTTAAATTCATAATTGATTTTGTCATATTCAAGGGTGTTTTATTTTGGGGTCATAATTGATTTTAAAATGTATAACTGTATTTGAATATTTTTTCAAGAAATTCATGGTTTTCACACTTATAATTATAGAGCACTTCTATCTATTAACAGCTATCCTTTTATGAGCATTCTTAAAATCATGGACAACTATAGAAAGGGCCACGTGACAAGATAAGGATCATTCCATTCAGAACTTAGCAGTACCTAATTTGTTCAGATTTGTCCTAATGAATTTGGTTCTCATAGTAACATAAGACATCGTAATGCAAAGGAAATACTCCTCCTATCCTTAATATAAGACCCATTTAACTAATTTGATTAGATTAAGGAAGTTAGATAAGTTAGTTAATTATGACATATTTTTCCTAAAATACCATAATCATCTTTCTTAATACCCCTCTCCTTCTTCCATTTGATTATGGTTGAGGGAGTATACATAGGGGTAATTTAGAGAAAATTGACAAATATGAGAAATGGGTCTTATATTTATGACCAAAACCAACTCAAGAATTGGGTCCTATGTTAAGGACCGGAGGAGTATTAAACTATGCAATGACAGGTTTCAAAGGACTCAAGGTGCCCACACTGTTGATCTAGGACCACTTGTCATTTCTTTTCTTATCATTTTATATCTTATTCCACTATTTCTCTACTTCCAATTATCTATAACATCAAATCCATCAATTAATTAAACTTCTCTCTCTATCTCTCTTGCCAACAATTAGTTAATAAGCTTCTCTAGAATTCTATATACTTTCTAAAATTAAATACTAAAGTCAATTAAATCCTATAAATAAAAATTAAGATGTCACCTTTGAAGACAAGAAAACTAACTTGAGTTAAGAGTAGATGATTCGAGCTACATATAAGTCACTTTAAAAATACTTTTCAAATTCTTTTGAAACAAAATGTTCTTTAATTTTATTATCATCAAAACGTATAATCTAACAGAAGTATTGATGAACAAATCTGTAATAAAGATAAAAAAAGGTCACGTGACAATGCCTGCCTTGATTGAAGATATGAATAAAGAAATTGTTTTGCAACAATCAATGAAATAGCTTGGTAAACGCAACAGCTTATGGCGTTACGAACACATGCCACCTCTGGCAAAATAACAGGTTAAGAACACAACATACTTGGCTCTCTATTCAATTCTTACCTTTATGTGACCTCTGTATACCTGAAATTTGATCTTTATTGTGTGCTTTTCATTTTTAATGGCTCTCTTTGGGGCCCCGAAGACTAGGCTACGACTCCTAAGTATGGGCTCATTTACCATGCATCTTTGATTTGTCAGGCAGCTCCCAACTGGTAAACATGCATGGTCGATGGTCCAAAAAAACAAAGCTGAAAACGAAGGGAGAGGAAGAAGCTACATGTGAAAGAAGGTGATGCTGAGCGTTTATTAAAAACCTATAGCGAAGAAGAAAAAGAGATACTCCTCCAGTCCTTAATATATGATCTAATTGTGAAGTTGATTTTAGTTATATAAGACCTATTTCTTATATTTATCAATTTTTCTTAAATCACCCCTATTGATACTCTCTCAACCATAATCAAGTATGAGAGAGAGGAAGGATATATAAAGATGATTAAGATATTTTAGGAAAAACATGTCATATTTATTATAGTTAACTAACTTACCTAACTTACCTAACTTTCTTAATTTAATCAAATTAGTTAAATACGTTTTATATTAAGGACTGGAGGACTATAATAAGAAAAGGAGCAGGAAAGTGTACATTGAACGCGGATGGAAGAAACTAAATGGAAGAAGACGGATAAATAAGCCAAAGAAAAAGTTGAAATAATTGTATTGATATTCGTTCTTGTTTCCTTTGTCTCTCAAAGAAAATGTTGTTTGTATGTGTCACAAGCAGTTGATCAGCGAAAAAAGCATAAAAAAATTGTTGTCGGCCAAAATAATAAATACAATGGACTTTTCTTTATATATACACGTGAGCCTTCAGTAATTGTTTATAGAAATTACTCGGCTTAAGTCCGTTTGGTATGAGCGAAAATGAGAGGAGGGGAGGGGAGAAAAATTTTTAATAAGCTCGAATTAAAAAAATTGAAAAAGTGAGGTTAAAAGTTTTTAATTAATTTTTATTACTCTTTTATATTATTTCTTCTCTTTATTAAAATTTCAAAACCCCACTTTTCCAATTTTCCAAATAAGGCTCATTAAAATTTTCCTTCCCATCTCCTCCCCTCCATTTCTTTCATACCAAACAGTATCTAATAGTTAATTGAATACTACTTCTAATCCTTGATATAAGAGCTAGTTGACTAGTTTGAGTAAATTAAAGAAGTATATTAAATTAGTTATTTGTAATAATTAGGTGTTGTCTTTTTCTAAAATACCCTTACAAATCATGTATTAGCTAAAACTATTATTTGATTGAACATTTAATATATACAACTACTACAAGTACTACTTTGAAAAAAAAAGATAAATATGAGAGATAAAGTGGCCTGGGCCTCATATTTAGAACAAAATTAAAAGTTAAATGAGCTTTTATATTAAGGATTAGAGATAGCATACTCCAAATGGATATATGCATATCCACATATCTAATTGTTTTTTTTTTTCCCTCTTCTATTGGGGTACGTTTGTATTTGAGGAAATTTTGATGCTGTGATATTTGTGCATTATATAAAGATGCTACTGGTTCTAAACTTCTAGATTTTTCTATTTCTTTTCATAATCACTGCACATGATGTTGTTAATATACATGTTTGCATGTATCAGCATAATACAAAATGTGTGTTTGTATATGACATGTATTATTATTAATACAAGTGGACTTATATATAATATATACACCGTATACATTACATATATGTGTGTTATGTCGTGTACGAGGGTCTATTTTTCTAGCTTTGGTCGTTTGGTTTGGTCTGGACACCTCAAGAACGCTCAAGGAAACTCTAATTCAATCGAGACTTACTACTTGGACTGGTGATTTCTAATGAACTAGCAAATCGGTTGCCAGTCCGATTTGGAAAGCCTGCAAAACTAAGAATGCAATGAGTTGGGTAAAACTGGTCAACATGGTCTTGATCAATTCCGATGGTCCAACAAACAAAGGTTAGAATGGAGGAAGAGGAAATAGCTACATGTGAAAGAAGATGATGCGCTTAGAGTTAAAAACCTAAAAACGTAAAAACGTAGAAGGAAACATATAATAAGGACAAGAACAAGGAAAAGGATGGGCATAGAATACCAAAGAAGAAGAATAAGGAGAAAATGTACTTTGAACGTGGAAGGAAGAAAAAGGAAGAAGATGAGTGTGAGATAGAAGGGAAATTAAAAGATGATTTCATCACAGAACTGTTTGGATATATGTATGCTTAGATAATTAATTGAATGCCATAAAAATAAAACATAAAACTTTTTATATCCAAGCAGAGTTCATCTCCATTTAAAATGTTCTACAGTGAAAGACAATGGGTGGGAGGGAGTAAAAAGATGTTAAAAAGCAAGTCCCATAAACAAATGGATTATCAACACCCTGTAATCCACCCCATTGACTGGTAAGTAACGAAATGATGCTGCCAATTAATTAATTACTACCTCCAGTGCTCAATATAAGAGATAGTTAACAAAATTAAGTAGATTAAGAAAACTAGTTAAGTTAGTTATTTATAATAAATATATGTTATTTTTCTCAAAATATCTTTATTAATAAAGTGTATTGGTTACAACTACTATTATCACAATGACTATTTTAAGAAAAAATAGATAAATATGAGAGATAAAATAGATTATAGTCTTAAATTTAAGACCAAAATAAAAGTCAAGTGAACTCTTATATTAAGAATTAAAGATAATAATAAAAAAGAAAACTTGAAATAATTGTATTGATATTTGTTCTGGTTCCCTTAATTTGTTTCCCAAAGAAACTGTCGTTTGTGTCACGCATAGTTGATTAAATAATTTCAGGTTTGTTAATGCGCTACTTTAATTAGCCCAAACAATTGTATCGAGGAAGCACTGATGTGATTCAGCTTATTTTTATTCTCGAAAGTAAGATTCACATCACCCCCTTATCTGTTGATGTGGTTTACCTTAGCCGACCACCGTATTTTAAGTCTCCCTTTGGTTTTGCTTTTAATTAACTGTTATGCACTTCTCAGAGGGCCACCGAATGAAAAGGAAATCTGACGAACGTTCGTGGAAGCCTATGATTACCAACTACACAAGACTAACGGATGGTTACATTAATATAAAACCCACAACTTGAACTTTCATTTCAGTCTTCACAAACCCGTGAGATTACTTTAATCATTCTCCGTTGCTGGAAAGGGGTTTGCCAGACAGGGGCGAGTTCTACTGGTCCGTTGAACCCATCAGCTGGACTGTTTTACGAAAACAAAAATGAAAAATTCGTTGTCGATCTTATCTAATGATGTGATTTACCTTTCCCCCGCCCCCTTCTTTTTGGGTTTGCTTTTGACTATTCTACGCTTTGTTTTTATACATACGCGTTACAGAGGGCCAGGCCATCAAATGAAAAAGGAAATGCGACGAACGTTCGTGGAAGCCTGCTGTTGGAAACTACACAAGAGTAACGGACGATTACATTAATATAAACCCTGCAAGTTGAACTTTCATTTCGGTCTTCACAAACCTGCGAGATTACTGTATCATGGCGAAGAGAGCAGGAACTTCTTCGGTCACCTACAGATGGAGTTATAATGTGTTTCTTACCTTTCGAGGGGAAGATACTCGCTTGAATTTCATCGGTCATCTCTACGAGTCTCTTCGTCAAAGCAAGATTCGTGTCTTAGCGTTAAAAGCCTAAAGTGTAGAAGAAGAAAGATATAATAAGGAAAAAAGAAGGAAAATGATGGGGCTAAAATACCAAAAAAGAAGAATAAGAAAATGTACTTTGAATGTGGAAGGAAGAAAATGAAAGTAACACGGCGGATACAAGAAGCAGAGAGTTGGAGAAAGGAGAGAAGATGAAGGAGGGATATACTGGAAATTAAAAGATGAGTTCATCACAGAACCTTTCTGATATTTGCATGCTTAGATAATTAATTTCCACACAAAGTAATACTAATCTGTAAATATTAAAAAAAATTAGTTAAGTTAATAATTTATAAACAAATGTGTATTGATTTTTCTAAAATACCCATATAATTATTTGCATTGAAAAATACCTATTAATGAATAATCCTTAATATGTGTAAGGAGAATTTGGAGAAAAAAATCATAAATTTAGAAAACAAACTAAATTGAAATATTATATTTAAAATAAAAAAAATTTCTATGCTAGTTTTTATATTTAAGATTGGAGGTAATATACAACTATTTATGTCCATGCAGTGTTCTTCCCTATTTAAATTTTTTACGGTGAAATACAAATATAATGAGAGGGAGGGAGTAAAAAGATGTTAGGAAGCAAGTCCTACAAGCAAATAAGCAAATGAATTAGGGAGGATTGCAACGAAATCCCAAGTAAAAATCATGATTACTAAGTCTTAATGACAATAAAATAAGTTATAATGACAAATTTTATAAGAGTAAATGATTATTTATTATTAAAACTTAGTGATAATTATTTTTTTAAAAATTCATCGTACAAATGAATTATTAACAGCCCTGTAATCCACCTGTCACCTTTTGACCGGCTAGTAACAAAATGAAGCTGCCAATTAATTAATAAAAAGAAAATTTGAAATAATTGTACCCCCCCCCCCAAAAAAATATTTTTGACTGTCGCTTGGGTCACGCTTCACTGATCAGCGCCGAAAGCATAAAGAGTTGTCGTCGACCAAATCAAATAATTTCACTACTTAGCTCAACCAGTTGTGTCAAGGAAGCTCTGATGTGATTCAGCTTATTTTTATTTTCTCTTCTGTGTTTGCATCTCAGCAAGTTCCCTCTCCTTCCCTTCATGGTGTTCTCCCTGATTTCAATTCGAGTCCCATTCCCCGTTGCTGGAAAAGAGGTTTGCCTGCAGACAGGGCCGAGTTCCACTGGTCCGTTGAAATTCATTGTCGATTTTATTTGATGAGATGAATTTGCCTTTCTCCTTTTTGGTTTTGCTTTTGACCATTGAGCATTCGTCTTTTGTATTATTTTCAGGGGGCTACCAAATGAAAAGGATATGTGACGATCCTTCGGGGAAGCCTGCTGTTGGCAACTTACATTAATATAAACCTACAAGTTCACAGATCTGTTAGATTACTGTATCATGGCGCAAGGAACAGGATCTTCTTCCGTCACCCGCAGATGGAGCTATGATGTGTTTCTTAGCTTTCGGGGGAAAGATACTCGCCTGACTTTCGTCGGTCATCTCTATGAGGCTCTTCGTCAAAGAGGGATTCGGACGTTCATTGATGATGAATCCCTTGATGCAGGCAAAGAAATCCGACCATCTCTTTTTGAAGCCATCAAGGAATCCAGGATAGCCATCATAATTTTCTCCCAAAATTATGCAACCTCAACTTTTTGTCTGGATGAACTTGTCCAGATTATTGAGTGTTTCAAAGAAGAAAGTCGGATGGTATATTCAGTGTTTTATCATGTGGATCCATCGGATGTGCGACATCAGAGAGGGAATTACGGACAAGCTTTGGCTGATCTACAAAAGAGATTGGAAGGAAACGATGAGAAGTTGCAGAAGTGGAGGTGGGCTTTGTCCCAAGCAGCTGACTTGTCAGGCTGGCATTTTCAACCTGGGTACCTGCTCCTCTCTTTCCTTAGTGTTACTTTTCATCCAAATTTTTACTCTTTCTATTCTTATTATAAGACTTTTTTTATAAGTTTATTAATTTTTTTATAAAATTTTATGATAATTTAGTGTAATTATATGATGTTGAAATTTAGTGTAGTGAATGATGATAAAATCAGAAATCACTTAAATTTTATGACAGAATTAATATTTTAAACTATTTTTACGAGTATGTGTAAATTAATTAGTAATAAGTAAACTGTAAAGGGGGTTGGAAAACCCAAAAAAAAGGGTAAAAGAGGAAATGATCCATAAACAAGATTGAAAATATGAAACGCCCCCATGGGTAGCCTAATATATATATATATATATATATAATATTTTGAATGAAAAACAAAAATATATAGAAATATATTTATGTATATAATTTAATATGTTATTATATATTTTAATTTAATTTTCGTATTGTGGTAAAATATTTTTAATCATTAATATTTTTATTCAAAAAATTAATAAAATAACAGATATATTAAATATGTTATTATTTATTTGTTTTCATAATATTTTTTTATTTTTTATGTAATATATTACTGAAAAAGTATATTTTAATTTTAACAAAAAGATATGGTGATATTGGGTACTCCTCTAGAGGATTTGAAAGAATCCGCTTTATTCCCTTTCCATGGGATTTGCAGTTCTGCCGTGCTCACCAAGACCCATTGACTTCCACAAAATGATTAGGGAGTTTCAATTTCCTTAAGCATCTCCTTAGGAATTGGGAACTAACTCTGTAACAAACTTTTTCGAGATCAATCTTGATTATCATGAATCAAAACGTTTTAATTTGTATAATCAATATCAATAGAAAATATGGAATATGTATGTGTTTTTAAAATTGTTATTCATAATTCCTAGCAAAAAGTATTGTTATTCATAATTGTAAATTTGTGATTCCGAGTCATACAGAGATATTTCTCATCTGGAAAATTGTTTGTCCATTTTATCCTCTTTTTCATTCCATTTCATTCTATAACTAGCCTATCAACATGTTTTTGTTTTGAATAAAGGCTAACCTTTTATGGGCAGAATTACAAAAGAACAGGAGCATATTAAGATGATTACTCGCAAAGTCTCTGCCAAGGTTAATCGCACTCATTTAAATGTTACCAATTATCCAGTTGGTCTTGGGTTACGAGTGCAAGAAGTAATCTCACTTTTAAATCTTTGGTCCAATGAAGAAGCGGAGATGGTTGGAATTTGTGGCATTGGTGGAATAGGTAAATCAACAATAGCAAGGGCTGTGTATAATTCAGTTGCTGATAATTTTGATGGTTTATGTTTTCTTTCTAATGTTAGAGAAATTTCTAACAAGCATGGCTTGCCCCACCTTCAAGAGATGTTACTCTATAAATTGGTGGGGGAGAAGAAACTCAGATTGGGTGATTTCAATGAAGGAATTCCAATAATAAAAAATAGGCTCCAAAACAAGAAGATTCTTTTAATTCTTGATGACGTTGATGAAGTGGAGCAATTATGGGCATTAGCTGGAAGCTGTGAGTGGTTTGGCCTTGGAAGTAGAATTATTATCACGACAAGGGATAAACAATTACTAGCAAGTCTTGGAATTCAAAAAATTTATTATGTCGAGGTACTAAATGCTGATGACTCTCTTCAGTTAATTGAAAGGCATGCCTTTAAAAACCTTACGGGGGATATAGATCATTACAAGGATGTTTTGAATCGTGCCATAAAATATTCAGGTGGCCTTCCATTAGCCTTGATAATGATTGGCTCTAACTTATGTGATAAAAAACCTGATGATTGGACTTCTGCATTAAATGTTTATGAAAGAATACCTAGTAAAAATATTTTTGAAGTCCTTAAAGTAAGCTATGATGCTTTAAGCGAAGAAGAAGACAAGGAAATTTTTCTTGACTTGGCTTGTTTCTTTAATGGTGAGAAGAAGGACGACGTCATGAATATGATGATGAGTTTTCGTGGTGGTGAACCAACACATGCTATTAACGTGTTGACGGATAAATCTCTAATAAAGATAGAAAAAGATCGTGTGACAATGCATGACTTGATTGAAGATATGGGTAAAGAAATTGTTCGGCAACAATCACGACAAGAGCCCGGTAAACGCAACAGGTTATGGTGTTATGAAGACATTCTTGATGTCCTGCAAAATAACACAGTACGAGCACAACACAAATGACTGTGTTCAATTCTTACATTTATATGACTTTTGTATACCTAAAATTCGGTGTTTATTGTGTGTTTTTCATTTTAAAGGGTACTGATGAAACTGAAGTCATAATTCTTGACTTACCCAAAGATAAAGAAATCCACTGGAATGGTGAGGCATTCATGAAGATGAAGAAGCTCAAAGTGCTTGTCATAAAGAATGCAAGCTTTTCTGAAGGCATCAAATATCTCCCAAATAGTCTCTGCGTGTTGGAATGGAAGGGGTACCCTTTTAAGTTTTTTCCATCTGATTTTCATCCAACAAAACTCGTCCATCTTGATTTGTCCAATAGTTGTGTAGTGCTCCAACCTTTGAATAAGGTATGCTTATATATGTTCTCGTAAAACAAAGCGCTTTTTTCATCTTCTTTATCTAACTTCTTTTTCCATTTTCAATTTTGCAGAAATTGGAGAGTTTAAGTCGCATGAATTTTAGCAACTGTAAATCCCTGAGCCAAATACCAAAAATGTCAGGAGTTCCTAATTTAAGAGAATTGCGGCTTGATGGTTGTACAAACTTAATTGAAATCCACGATTCACTTGGATTCTTGGATAAACTTGAAAAGCTGAGTGCTATGCGATGCAAAAGCTTGAGGACTTTGCCCCCTATTGTTAAGCTGATAGCGCTTGAACATCTAAATCTCTTTGGTTGTTCAAGTCTTCAAAGTTTTCCGGAGATATCAGAAGAGATGAAGAATTTGAAGACACTTGATTTGGAGAGTACGGCAATTGCAAGATTGCCATCTTCAATCTGCAACCTTGTTGGGCTTGAAAGCTTAAACATGGAAGCGTGTCCTAATCTTGAGCAATTACCAGCTAGTATTTGTACGTTGCCAAACCTATTGGACCTAACAACAAGTTTTTGTGAAGAGATGAAGCATTTTAAGAAATGCAATGGTGGAAAAGAAGCAAGCTCAGACTGCTCAATCATTTTAACCAAAGGAAAAGAAAAAGAAGACAACTCAACCGTGTCTTCGAGAAAATATTTCCGTTTCTCAAATTGCAACTTAACAAATGGCTCTCTTGCTCTCTGTCTCTCTTGTATTCCTGACATTGTACATTTAGATCTAAGGTTTAATAGCTTCACAACTCTTCCAGCATGCATAGAAGAATGTGAGAGTTTAAGATATCTCTTGCTGGATCATTGCGTGCAATTGCAGAAAATTGATAGGATGCCCCCAAAATTGGAAACATTCAGTGCCATGGGTTGCACGTCTTTGTCTAAGTCATCAAGGAAAAGAGTACTGAATCAGGTCTCTCTCCCCCTTTAATCTTTTCTTAATCATCTTCCTTAGGTACTTACAGTTTATTTATCATTTTACGGTATTATATGTAATTTGCAGGCATTCTACTTTGGAAATGGGAAAAGAAACTTTATTTTGCCTGGAAAAAGATTCCCTCAATGGCTTGACTATTATAGTCGAGGAAGCTCCATGTCTTTTTGGATTCGTGAAAGGTTCCCAAAAATTGCTCTTTGGTTGCTTGTTGAAAATGACCAAGTTGATCCTTACAAATGTGCATTCTCAGTGCACATCAATGACACCAAGTTAGATATTTCTTCTGAGTGGCTTTCACTATCAATTATACTGGCCAATCATATATACATATGTGACATGGGAAGCATAATTAAGAAGGTTGAACTCCCTCTTGCAAATAGATGGAATCATGTGAAGGTTTCAATCAAGAGCAATGCAGGAGAAATAAAGTTGGAAAAGGAAATTTCTATGGCAGTTCATGTGTATAAGCAACAAAATGACTTGGAAGATATCCGATTCAGGGACCCGAGAACACACCTCGATTGCAACGCATGGCAAAAAGTACAACAACCACCTCAAGATCAGGAAGAGCTTGAAGATGAAATGAATGAGGATTCAAATTCAACCAAAGTCGCAGGTCAGTCCAAAAAACCACACGTTATCATGGTACGCCCCGGTTTTCTTGCATTTTGTGTTAGCGTAACACTACCTACGGTTCTTAATATAAGATTTGATTGACTAATTTGGAGAGAGATTAAGAAAATTATTAAATTACTTAATTATAATATATATTACATGGTCTATCTAAAATATTTATATATATTATTAGGTTAGATATCATTTTATATGTAAGTTAAATTAGTTTTGAAAAAATAAATAAATATAAATACTTTAAAAACTAATTTGTAATTTTCTTAATCTCTCTAAATTAGTCAAATGGGTCTTATATTAAGTATCGGAAGTAATATATTCTTTTCAATATGAATACATAAGTTATTTCCCTGATTGGTGTACTCTGGCCAACTTTAGTTAAAGGCGTGGGGTATATGAAGTCTTCAGAGACTTGAGGAGAGTATTCAACACATTCACAGGACTCAATTATAAATAAATCTTTTATTCGGGACTTATATGTAATTTTCCACGAATTCTTTGAAGCTAAGCAGGTGGTTTATAAAAAGCGTTAATGTTTGCCACTAGAACAGCTACTATTTTGATACTATCAACGAGTTGGTCCTGATTTTGATCTAGTTGTCGGTTATGGTAAAACAGTGATGAATCTGTGGCCAACAATTTCTTGATTTTCTCAAAATAATTTTTTTCCCGCTTGTAAAAATATTTTGAGCATTTTGCAGCCCCCCATGAATTTTTTCCCCCCAAATTCTTGCTCCTTGCGCATCCAATCCTAAATTCGTCCGTGCTACGAAAACCATAAAAATTCAAATTTATATCAGTTTTTTATAATAGCAGACTTTCTTGCCAAACGCACCCTGGATAGTGCACCAAGCTTTCGAGTGTTTGAACCTGACAATCTAAGCGGGGATCTTGACTTCGCTTGAGGATGTTAATCCTCAATCGTACAGTAATCTAGCCTTTCCTTTCCGTTGTATCCAAAAAACAAATATATATGTGTGTGTCTATATATACATATATATATATATATGTATGTATGTATAAGTGTATATGACCATATGTGTGTGTTTGCGTATCAGTGATAAATCCTAATTTTATATTGATTTTTTATATCTTATTTGGGATTTTTATCAATTAAATTGGGCTTAATTACATTGATTATGATTAATTTGGATTAATTGTGACTGGATAAAAATATTGCTAAAAAAGACAAGAATATCATATTTTTATGATTTAGTGCAACTGATTGATTTTTTTTTTTTTTTGAAAAAAGGTATGACATCACATTATGCTAGAGCTCGTTATAGAAAATTTCGAAGATATTGCGAGGTTTGAATTTAGGGTTGGAGGATCATTGTTGTCGTCTTCTTCATGGAGAAAAAGACGGAACTGAGATGGGCGGCAAGGCTTGATCTTCTTCATCAGCATCCCATATATATATATATATATATGTATGTATGTATGACCACACGCAAGCCACCCACACCCACACCCATCATACATCAACACACGCAAGACACATCACCGTCCGCATCTTCTTCATTCACCACCATGTATACACATGCGGCAGAGCTGAGAGAAGGAGACGCAGGGGAGACAGTGAGTAGTGATCTTCCTTGTCTGTGAAATTGCCAGTGACTCTGTGACTGGTTCCCTATTCACTGCATTCAGCCAGACCCCACAGCTCCGAATTATTCTTATCCCATGGCCGAATTGCATATTGAGCTAATGTTGGCAGAATCTCAAACCATGTGCAGCTAATTTCATCGAGCTTCTTGGAGACGGAGGTTGAGTTTGAGCTTCACAGTTAATTAGGGGAGTTTTTCTATTTCAATTCTTTTAATTTAACTGAGTAATGGATTTTCTGAGTTAGAATTGTTATTATTTAATTAAATTTCCTGAGGGTGCTGATTGTAATTCTTAGTTTAGAATTGAATTTTTGTGATTGGGATTAGATTTTGCAGTTTGAGATTTATATAATTATATCCAATTTGAAGTTCTATGTGGTTATACTATTTTTTCATAGTTTGAATGAGTTTTATAATTGCATGGTACTTATTGAATATCTCAAGTTGAGTGTTTCTTGCATAGAGACCTGAATTGCATTAATCGAATCCTAATTGCATACTAATTGCCTTTCAATGGTAATTTTAATTGGTGGTTGTAGCTAGAGTTTTAAGACATCCATTAATTAGGATTATTTGACTTAATCAGTGATAAAGGTTTTGATTTTAAATTAGTGAATAAAATAACTCTCATATCGAGCAAGAATAATCCAATTTCTATTTTCCAAGAAGCATTATCTCATATCTCCTTAAAATCCAAATTTTATCATTTGCTACCTTTTTGATTAATTTTCTTTCAATTTCAATTTCAAATTATCTTTTCATTTTTTTTTCATAAAAGAAAATCCAAAAAAAATAGAATTATTTTTAATTTATTTTGAAAGTATTTTTTTAAATTAAAAAAAACCTTTTTAATAGCAATTTTGATTTTTAGTTAATTTGGGACCTAGTTAATTTTTGGCTCCAATAAGAAAACGACTTTGGTTTGTATCACTTGCTGCATTCTAAATTTAATTTAATTTGGCCAAGGCGATATTGAGGATGAATCAGTCAACTTCTTCCTACTACTTACATTAATTGATTATAATTAATTAATTAATAGTCGGTTCTCTCTGGTTCCTCCTTACTTTTCCTCTAGTCTGTTAGATTAAATTCGAACAAAGAAAAAACCATTAAAAATAACATGAAAATTATTAAATCTCAAATTAAGATTTTGACATATGTTATTTACACTTAATTTGCAAATAACAATTTATTTTTGTAAGAATTCTTAATTTAGAATGTAATAATTTTTAGTTTTTTTTTGTAGGATTTTCTCTTTAAACAATTTAGATTTAGCACTTTATAAAATAATGTTTTTTTTAAACTTTTACTTACTTTCAATTTATTTCCTTTGGTTTCTAGCAGAAGCAGAACCCATGACTACTAACCTTATGGGTGGAACATTTGATTGGCTGGTGCAAGGAGCAAAAACCTCTTCTGTCGCCCGCATGTGGACTTTTGATGTGTATGTTAGCTTTCGAGGTGCAGATACTCGCTTTGGTTTCATTGCTCATCTTTACGAATCTCTTCGTCAAAGCGGGATTCGTCCCTTCATTGATGACAAATACCTCCCCGCAAGTGAAGAAATCCAACCATCTCTTTCCAAAGCCATCAAGGAATCTAGGATGGCCATAATAGTTTTCTCCAAAACCTATGCAGCCTCAACCACCTGTCTGGATGAACTTGCCCAGATTATTGAGTATTTCAAAGAAGAAAATCGGCGGGTATATTCAGTGTTTTATGATGTGGATCCATCAGAGGTGCGGCATCAGACAGGGCGCTATGGACAAGATCTTGCTAATTTGCAAAACAGATTGGGAATAAATGATGAGAGGTTACAGAAATGGAGGAGGGCTTTGTCTCAAGCAGCTGATTTATCAGGCTGGCGTTATCAACCTGGGTACGTGTTCTCTTTTTCTTATTGTTATTTTCCATCTAATTTTTGGGTTTTTTTAAATAAGTAAAATACAGGCACTTTCTTTTGCTTTTATATTCATCCTTTATTATATGAATAATTTAATATACTCCCTGGGATCCTTGTCCCAAAGAATAATGGGGTGGTCCTAAATATAAGCAGGAGATACTTTTTGTCTAAAATTTTATATTTGTCTTTACATTTTCACCCCTATTAAATATATGCCTCTATATTAGTTATCACGAGAATTATATATATGAGAGAGAGTGTGAGTACTATTATTTCACTCTTTTTTTTTTAAATTACTCTTATTTTTACTTATTATCTCTTTGTGATAAATTTTCACTCATTATCTCTTATTTATTGTTTTTATAAACAAATGCATAATTTGGAAAAAAAAATACTGACAGCAACCTAACCTAATGTGTCTTGGGCCTGAGAGACCCTAGTCCATTATTTTAATAACTCTGTTTAAATTGTAGAATTAGTCTGCTGATTTGGTAGGTAGATGTAGGGGTGTTCAATTTGTCCCGTCCCGGTCGTCCCGTCCCGGTTCTGGTGAGTTCGGGACGGGACGGGACGGGACAAAAAAAATTTCGGGACGGGACAAGTACGGGACAGGACGGGACAGTGACCGGGACGGGACGGGACGCGAGACGGGGTTGTCCCGTCCCGTCCCGTCCCGGGATTATTTTTTTTAAAAAAAATTATTTATTAATAATTATTATTAGATTATTCAATTTACTTATTAATAATAATAATTATTTTTATAGTGATTTTTAACTCTTAAGTTGTAATATTATCTGAACAATATCTCCTTCCTCAATAAAATAATTCATAAAGCCATTATATAGTGTTTCTTTTATCGTATTTTTTTTACAGTATTGTTTTTACACTTTTTTTATACTATATAATTGAGCTTTCTACATAATATTTTTTATAATGTTTTTATCTTTAAAAGCCTAACAAAAAATAAGCATTATAACATAAAAAAATTTCATATAAAAAATTATAGTATTTTTTTTTAAAAAAAAATGGGAGGGGAACGGGACGGGACGAGACACGGGACTAAAACCCTGTCCCGTCCCTGTTCACCGGGACGAGACCGGGACGGGCCTGTCCCGGTCCCGTCCCATCCCGTGAACACCCCTAGGTAGGTGGGTCAGATTCTGATTGTATCTTATTTGACTTTCAATTCTGTATCTCTTGATTTCTAAAATCACGGCCTGATTACTAGCATTTTGGCCATCAGGTCTATTTAACTAATATTCTAAACTCCTTACCTTCATTGAAATACAAGGACTTTCAAGATAGATTTGTTTAACTACATACCTTAACTTTAACTGATATTTTGAAATGTGTGATTTTGGTATTTCTTTCTTATAAAAACACCATGAGGGAGTGATATTTTGTTAATAACTATGATCCAAGTTAAAATTATACTGCCCACGAAATAAGCATATTTAATTATTTATAATAGAAATGAGCTTGTAGCTCACAAATACAAGAGAGGAAAGCGAAGACGTTTTAATTTCTAGACAATATGGAATATGGGTTATATTTTTAAAATTGTTATTCATAATTGTAAATTTGTGATTTAGAGGTCTGCAAGATAAGATTGTTTGTTTATTTTGTTGTCTTTCTCACTCCATTTCATTCTATAACTAGCCCATAAATATATTTTTGGTTTGGATAAAGGATAATTTTTTATGGGCAGGATTACGAAAAAACAAGAGCATATTAAACGAATTACTTGTGAAGTCTCTGCCAAGATTAATCCCACTTGATAAAGCTTAATTTTTTATATATTTTATCGTACGATATTAATTTTAATAAAAATGATAATTTTGTGCTTAAATGGGTTGTTTATTCATTATTAGATTAATTGATTGATTTTGGAAATTTTCAGAAAATTTGAGATTTTTGGAGTGGAAATATAAATATTTTATGGTCTCTAAATTTCTGGTTTGGAGTTAATCTTTTCTATTTCTTCAAAATCAATTTTCATATTTCTGAAAATTTGATCTTTGAAAAGTTTCGTAATTTTTTATCTTAGTTTAATTTGGTGCATGTATAATATTTAATTTTGATATGGATTATATTATATTAGAATATAATTTATATAATCTACATTAATAGATTTAATTCTTGTAGGTCAAGAAAGAGTACAATAGAAAATCCTATGCTGGAGAATTAATCTTGGGAGTTCAAAGACAATCCAATAATAGCCAAGGAAATTCTCTTCTTTCCGGACTTAAATCGGCAACTCCACAAGATCATTCATCATTCACCTTCAATCATCTCGATTCTCCATCCGCTCACGGGTCTATTACATTAGTATGCCAATATTTCCATTCCTCTTCCTTGGACGTGACCATTATTTCTATTCATCATTCCAAGCGAGCCGTGAAGTGTTTAATGTTTGGAGGAGGAGGCGTTCTGATGGCTTGTCGAGTTAGTTTGAAAAACAACTTGAGAGGAGTGCAGCGGATGTGAGAGTCTTGGGTAAGTAGCTGAAGACTATAAAAAACTGACGTACCACAGTTTAATTCTAGATTGTCATCATTTTTATTATTGGATTGAATTGGTATTTGAATTTATTTTGTGCTTGATATTTGTTAGAATTTATGTTTGAAACCCCTTTACTGTTAATTAAATTCATAACTGAGTTCTCATTATGATTTAATTATCAATGTGACTTGAATTATAAATTTGGGTTTTTGTTTCTTGATTGTTTCATTGAGTTGACAAGTTGTCTAATTGTTTCATTAGATGACTCTAAGCATAATTTCAGAATTGATTTGAATTAATTGTAATTGGTTTTAATTGACTAACATTACATCATTATGACTTCTCTAATAGTTTAATAGTTTAAGTGTTGTTGTGCTGAGCTTCTCCTATGTATCAACTAGTGAATTCCACTCTTTTCTCATTTCCCTTTTATGTAATTAATAGATTTGGGGAAAAAAGTTAACTCCATATAAATCATGAGTTGTTCCCTTCACCATACTTGAATAAAACCTTTTTTTTACTTTATTAATTTATTTTATTACTTAGTTAATTTCCTTGACTTAGCAATTTAATTTTTCTTTCTTAAAAAACCCCACAACTAACATTTGTATTCATTTAGTTTAGTTTCATTTTCACATAGATTTTAGAGTATTTGTGTATTGCATCTTAGTTTCACTCGCTCAAATCAACACAACTGTAGGAGCAGTTGCTAATAATTTCGATGGTTAATGTTTTTCTTAATTTCTAACAAGCACGGCTTGTCCCATCTTCAATAGACATTACTTCGTAAATTGGCGAGGGAGAAGGAATACAAATTGGGTGATTTCCACAAAGGAATTTCAATAACAAAAAATAGGCTGCAAACAAAGAAGATTCTTTTAATTCTTGATGATGTTGAGAACGTGGACCAATTATTGGCATTCACCGGAAGAAGGGGGTGGTTTGGCTTAGGAAGTACTGTTTCTGGTACTTAATATTATGTCATGTATTTAATATAAGAGCTAATTGACTAATTTAAATAAATTAAGAAAACTCGTTAATTTAGTTATTTATAATAAATAGATGTTTTTTTTACTAAAATATTTTTGTTAATAAAGTGTATTAGCTAGAACTACTATTATTACAAGAATTATCTTGAAAAAAAATAGATAAATATGAGAGACAAAGTAGATTAGGGTCTTATTACCAAAAAAAAAAAAGTAGATTAGGGTTTCATATTTAGGACCAAAATAAAAGTCAAACAAGTTCTTATATTAAGGATTGGAGGTAGTATAAGAGCTTGTTTGATGTTCAATTTGATCTTAAATATAAGATTTTAATTTACTTTGCTTCTCCTATTAATATATCTTTTTTAAAGTAGTCCTTATAGTAGTTGCATGTGTTAATTATTTTATCAAAATGGTAATTTTAGCTAATACACATTATTAGCAAGGATATTTTAGAAAAAAAACACATATTTATTATAAATAACTAACTTAACTAATTTTTTTAATATACTAAAATTAGTTAAGTATCTCTTATATTAAGAACCAGAAATAATAGAGTCATTATCATGACAAGGGATAAACATTTGTTGATAATTCATGGAGTTCAAAGAATCTATATACATAATAAATAAAAATCAATGCATGGAGAATTACAATCAAGTCCTAAAGAAAGAATTTAATTACCTTAAAGTCTATTAACAAGTAAAAAATAAACAATAACAAGTTTTAGAATAAGAAATGACAACAAGTTCAGGCTGGTCATTCATTACTGGGACTTTTTGATAATTAAAATTTTTTTAGTCCTCCTAATAATTTTCCTATTAAAGCCAAGCTTAGCCATGTTCTTATCATAATGGCTCTTCTCTGTTTTATTGTTCTTTGAACAATAACTGACCTATGAACAGTGCCAACTCCTATGGCGCTTCGTGCATTTATTTTTTACGTTGGTGATTGGTGATGGTGATGCAAGGCCTTTTATTTCTATTCATGGATTTTGAGTTTCACATTTTAAAAAGTTTTGAGTTTCATTAATCTCCACCTATCTTAGAAGGGGTGGATCTTGATGAAGGTGGATAATAGCTTTTCTTGACCAGCAACGAGAAATTCATTGGATCAAAATAACAGGGAGATTCAACACGGAAAAAGAGCAAATACATAACCAACAAAATAACAAGGAGACATAATTAAGCCAAAAAAGTTAGCCTATTCCCTCCCTTTCGGCCTCTAAAGTCTGCTGGTCAGGATTCACATCATCATTAACCTGTACTTCACGAAGAATGATAGTAGCTAGAGAAGGTGGAGATTGAGTGATCAGACCGTTAGATCCCAGAAGGTGGATAATAGCTTTAATGCTCTATTTTGACTTTTCAAATAGTATGATATCCAGTTTCTCATTAAAAAAAAAAAAAAAGGAGTTTTGAACTTTGAAATTCCCTCCATCCCCATTCTTTTATCACCGTTCTCTCTCTCTCTTTCATTATGCAATTTTTTTTTCCCCTGTATACCCTCTCTTGCTGGAATCTGCATGCCATGCTTAGCAAACCTCTGAGCACGGCGTGGTAATCCCCCAAAGGTTTGGGGATGAGATAAGATACCTTTTTTGTTAAAATAATTTCTATTAATTTTATTTATTTATTTAGGTTAATTTGTATTTAGTATTTTAAAATTTTTTTTAATAGTATTCAGTATTCTAAATTAATTAATTTTCAGGATACTAGGTGTTACTGAAAAAATATTTCAAACTACTGAATGCATTAAAATTAGTTAATTCAGAATATTGGGTATCAGTATTTTTATATTTGTTGTTTTCCTCTTCTTCTTCTTTTTTTTTTAATTTACTGTTGCCAATGTTGTTTATAATCAGAAGTTTGCCTCTCATTAATTATACTCTCACTAATTTTAACCTACCTTCATTGAAGGTTAATATTGATATTATACGAGGAATCCTTTTTTTTTTTTTTTGGTGGGGGGGCGGGAGTTTTTGTTGTTTGGTGTTTAATTCTTTTCGATGGTAAAAGACAAAACGCTAATAATCAGCAACCAGCTCTTATAAATTTCAATTTTGGCTCTATTCATAAAACATTGTTAGAGTTGAATCAAAATTTATGATTCTGAATAGTTCAGTTCGATATAGTCACTTCTATGATAATTTGGATATTACTAATTGTACATGAATTTTATGTAGTTTTGTTTTGCTAGAATTGATTTAAATTTATTCAGAATTATGGATTTTGCCAGAGTTGCTTTAAATTTGCTTAGGATTATTGATTTTAGTAAAGTTAATGTATCCATGCGATGTGCGGGGTAAATGCCAGTTTATGTCATAAAGGAATTAAGTGCTGATGAATCTCTTCAGTTAATTAAAAAGAATGTCCTTTGCCCTTACAAAGGTCAGTGGGGATTCAAAAATTATTATGAGGATGTTTTATTCCTTACAGTACAATATTCAGGTGGCCTTCCATTGGCCATGGAAGTTATTGGCTCTAACTTACGTGATAATATAAAAAACGGTTGGTGAATGGAGTTCTGCATTATATCAGACATATCTTTTAATACTTTTCCACTGAAGCCGCAGCTTAAATGGCTTATTTTTTTGGTTTTAGACTCATTTTACTGTTCATAAGGGATATGCAGCTTCATAATAATTTTATTAGGCTTTGTGTCATGTGTCTCACACAGATCGAGTTGCGTGATGCAGACGCATATTTTAAAGTTTGAATTTGAGTTTTGAATTGCGTGTCAGTTTTTAGGGGGTGTTTGGAAACTAGGAGAAGTGTTTTTTAATAGCACTTTTCTGTAAATAAAGATAAACTTCTCTACATATTTATTTTATATACTGCAAAATCATTTTTAAAACTATGATTTTGGTTTTTATCCAAACACCCCTTTTGTCCAAGACACTCTTCTAATATTTCAAATTCAAAATTTAAATTAATCATTTATTACTCATTTTTTTACATAAAAAAAAAAATCTTCTCCAGCGCTTTTATGCCGATCCCTTCTTCTTTTCCCCTTCTCCCAAGACTGTCATCTTCCCCCTCTGTCTCAATCATCCTCATTTTTAAATTGAAAATTTAAAATCTCACTCCCCCAAGCATCAGACAGCAATATAAATCCTCATGTTCTTCCCATCATTCGCTGCTGGAGGTGAACGGTTGAGGTCATCGATGGTGGTTGTCGTGATGTGGGTGAGTGAAGCAGATGGAGATGGTAATGAAGAAACAGGGGTAGACAATGATGTTGATAGAAGAATATGGTCTACCATTGCCTCTTCCTCTGTTGGTACATTTTCTTGTGAAATCTCTTTTTTCATTGTAGTGATTCGGTTTGATGTATACTGGTCATTAAGCTAATTAGACAAACACAGTATCAACCTTGGGAATTTCATCTTCTCCTTTGAAATGGCTACCAATTTGGTTCAGTTAGGCGCAAATTTATAGTGATGCGGCTTGTAATGCTAAAACACCCAGTCTTCTGTTCTTGCTTAAGGTCTTTCTAGGCAAACAACAATTGATAATATTAGTATTTAAATGATTCCCCCATCCCAAAAATTGCGAAGGCGAATAGTTTACCTTCTTTTTCTTTTTGCGAGAAGAAGATGCAGCCACAATCACAGAGCTTAGGTCTTGACCCCAAGGGTACACAAGAATGGGGAAGGATGAATGTCTATGTAACAAAGTTAGACTACGTACAATGAATA